AAGTTGATGTATTCCCTCAGCGACCAGCACAGATCAGCTCTAGGCATGACGAAGCGGATATCTTCCTCTTTAGGAAGACCAAACAAAGTAGTTTCACTTTCCCAACGAAGCACACAGCGTCTTCACGACATGGTGGCGGCGTCAACAATACTACAGTGAGACTAAAAGTTACGCCTTCTTTCTTTGAGTGAACATTTGGGCGGCGTTATGCAAATCTTCCCACATAGTGAGGTAGGTATGTGGGGGCGTGTTAGAACGAGCTGTTTTAGGGGGGTGTGGCTGACTCTGAACTTTTATAAAGAATATCTCTTTGGATTTGAGACTTTAGTCTTTGCAACTTTACAGATCTTCTTTATGCACCAAGAGCTTGTAACACTCCAAAGAGAAAGGAAACATTGAAATCGCATCATATGACCCCTTTGATGTGATTAAAAACTATTTAAGTGCAGGAACAGAAAGAACTTGCACCCTGTTTTCTTGCAGCGCACATAAAGCGCAAGCGCGAGCACAGAGAACAGAGGTCGCGGTACGGGTTCCCGGTTTGTGTCTGTTCCCGAACCGTTCCGTGTATTTCCACTGTAGAAAAGGTTGTTCCGGGCCGAAACTGACTTCTTTCATATTTGTCGACCAATATGCAGAAAACTACATCAGTATATCATCATAAACACAGCCGTTTTTGTTAAAATCGCATCATATGACTCCTTTAAGAGTGAGTTTAAATATTCATAAATTAGACACACAGACAGGCATCTGAGATCGGCTCGATTTGAGAAAGGGGAAAACTTTAACCAGATAAAAAAAAAAAAAACTGGGTGGATTTTTATCATTATAAGGTGGTTGTGTTCACACACTGCCAACAGACATTTCAGTTCAAACAACTTGTAAAACTGCATGTAGCATCCTATGACCCCCTTGAAGGACTCATCTCTATTTAATCTAGAATTTAGTCTAATAACTTTATACAATTTCTGTATATTTCCTACTAGCTGAAGGGCACAGGTAGCTAAATATGCCGTTTATTATAATGGGTTTATGTAATAATTGTTTAAAGTTCACTTAAATTAGAAGTTGTTATTTTTTTAAAGTCTAATAAATGTTCAAATTGATTGCTCTCAAAATGGCTATAGTCAATGGGTAGATATTAGGAAAAAGAAAAAAAAATTCTGATGTCTTGACATTAGTAGCATACTAGCATTGGTATCTGTGATACTCGCCTTCAGTAATAAAAAAGATGCCATTATGTCTTTATGTTGTTTCTACTTTAATTTGAAGATTGAATGTGAAATTATTGCCTTTTTCCTCCTAACATTGTTGTTTGATTAGGCTTAATATAATCTAATTACCAATTTACCCTAATTACCTTTGGTGAATGAATCCAATAAACATGGTTCCTAAATGTAAATGTGTCCATGTGCTCTCATTTGTTTTATTGTAATATTAATTTACAATAAAACAATTTAATCGATTCATAAGGTGCCATTTTGTCCAAAACAACCCTCGACTTAAAATAAGTTCGTCACCCCTGATCTCTTCTCATATAATTTTGCTCTTAGTTGTCATGAATTTTGGACAGTCAAAATAATCAGATAAATTCCTGTTAGATATGCACCAAAATTTTAGCATCTAAAAATTATTCGGACAAAATGCAAAAAATAAATAAAATCATTGACTGAAACAATGCTATTTATGTGGATAAGTTACAACAGGTAAACATTTCAGTCATGTTGACAGACTTCACTGTGACCAAAAATTATGCTAGAGTAGCAATATGTAAAATTTGACTACAACTGGTTTAATTCATCACCTGAGAACATGACACCCTGAACAGTAGAGTTCAATCACTCAAATTTAGTTTAGATTACCCAGACTTTATTTTCAGTTTTGTTTTTCGGCTAAAAATAAAAACTAGATGAAAGGAAGCTTTATTTTCAGTTTTGGTAAGAAATTTATTTTGGTGACTCATATTTCCTTTTGGTATGGAAGGTCTTATAAGAAATTCACACAGATAGTATTTTGCAGCAAATACTATATTTGTTGACATTTGGAGATGCTAGTTTACTTTTAGACAAACAATTTTGCAACAAATTGTAACATTTGAGCAGTGTAAATGACCTAGCTCATGATGCAGTTGGAAACTGCAGTCTAGGAGGAACAGCTACTCGCAACCAACACCATGACCTGGTGACCTCCAGTGATTAGATCGCTTTCAGTGTGAACACCTCTTTAGACGCACGCCAAACAAGCTTTTTCCCAGAACATAAACAATGGACAGCATCTCAGAGGGACTTATTTGTGAAGTGTTGGTAATAACAGGGAGGAGCCGTGGTGTTTGTGTGTGTGAAGGCCCCAGAGGTGAGCAAACGCTCCCCAAGACATTCAGCTCTGTGATTCTCACAGAGAGCAACAGGAAGAGGCTGGGTTTCATTTTCAAGAAGGAATTACACCATCTGCAGCTCCACACAGGGAAGAGATGTCATATATCAGGCAGCGTTCTGTTAGTGTCTGGTTATGATTCCAAGGTGTTGCAGGTTTCTGTCAGGTAACATCGCTGATTGTGGCTGTAAGTACCCAGATGGACTAATGCTTCATAATCTGTTAATGTAATCAGAAAAGTACCCTGTTAAGTGCAGTTAATCCACATTAATGTCTTGGCAGCGAAGGAAAGTCAGTTATTCTTGTTGAAAATCAAGCTGTTGCCGTGAAGTGTCCGTGATTGGCTTTGGGACTCGCTCTGTGCTGAATAACGTGCCTTTCTTCTCTGATTGATTTTAAAACTATTCACTCTTTTTATTTTATTTATGTATTTTTTGATTTTCAGGTGAAACTGTTGAGGAGCAGCGACAGAAGATTCAGTCCATGAACACTGAGCAGCCCACAACAAATGTAATAGTACAACCATCTAAGGTGAGTTTGTTTCACATAGAGTGATCTAATAATGCTACCTAATACTAGGGGTGCTCCGATCAGGATTTTTGAGGTTGATCACAGAAAGCAGTATCTGCCGATACCGATCACCGATACAGATCTTTTTAAAGCCTTTTTTTTTATAATTTTATACCCATTTATAGTGATACTCCAATCAGGATTTTTAGACATTTATTCAGGGCCTGAATTTCATTTTTGAAAATGGGGGGGAATTCCCCTCTTCGGTGACTCTTGTGAGAGGAGAAGCAGCTTTCACACAGGAGTCTGCTGCTGATCCGTGACTGTTTACCACAAACACAACATTTATCCATTATTTTGATTTCAAATCCAAACATTGTCACTGAAAATGCTTTTTCAGCATTGCAATTCTTTTTTTACACAGTACAGTAATACAGTCTTTCGCAGACATGTTTAAACAATAAATATAAGCAACACATTATTCAATGCTTTTTACTTTTGCATTTACTTCTAGATTTATATATTAAGTTGTTCAAGCAAGTGACAAAACATTTAAACTACTTTTCTTACGTTATCACAAACTTACCATTGACAGAAATAGTCAGCTCTACTGCCTTTTCTTTTGCATTTAAATCTTTAAATCAACCAATCCTGCGGTTCATAAAGAACTTTGTTTTCCTACCTCCACGAGTGCCATCTATTTTTGCCTTGTTTATCTAAAAGTGCTCTTTCCCTTTAAACCTAGCCAAAAAGCCACATGTTGACTGTGAAACACAGTAGACTTTAATAATATGCATTTATGGTGTAATTACTACATTTCCGTGTCAATCCATGTTCATATTTACTGCAAACAATGCACTGTTACTTTAATTCAGCAGTGCAGAGATGGTTGGAAACCATCTCTGCACTGCTGTAGACGCACTGCTACTGGAACGCACTGCTGGACCGCAACCGTCTGCAGTGTGCACGCTTTATTAATCCGTTAACATGAGCACGGAAAAAATACACACCACATACCCACTGCAAACGGAGTAATGTGAACCTGGCGTTATGTGTGTGCGCTGCGAGTGGGCATGAGCGCACGGTGGTTAAACACTGGTAAGAATTTAAAAGTAATGCAATTTATAAACTTTAGTGACGATGTGACACTGCCTCGATTGTGCAAGTGACAATTCCTGTGTAAACTCTCTTATAGACAGACGCGATGTGTGGTGATTTCAAGCCATTTGCGTATTTTGAGAGAGAAAGAGAGAGCGCACGCGCGGTGATTCACTCACGTTGTTTGTGAAATTACATCTCACACAAGGTTTTCAAATTACTTTATAAGTTATTTAATGAAGAAATTTGAAGGTGAGTACCTCACCTTCAGCATTATAATTATATTACCCGTGCCGGACAGAGACTAAAACGATGAGACGGCAGCGTCAACAGCTTGAGATCGGCCTTTTTAAAGACTGCCGATCAAACGTCCCAACATGATTATCGGCCGATAGTGATCGGTAGCCGATCAATCGGAGCACCCCTACCTAATGCCTAATGATAGTACGACAACAAATGGCAAACATTTACAATTATTTGATATACATTTTGATATATATTATCCTAAGCAGATAGCAATGTCTAAAGAATTGTGAAACTCACAGACTGAAATTTAAGTCATTATTCAGTTATAATCTTCTCAACCAGTGAGCTATTAATGTGAGAACTACCAACATGATCTCATGAGAAAACCATTTTACAAGGTGGCGATTTTGAATGAATTAATTCGATGTGATTCGTTCACATTTGTAAACATGAAGTTCCTAACTTTGTGTGGCATAAGCAGATTGTATAAAAGTATATAAATTCATTCGAATTGGCCACCAATTGACCAAAATTTAAAATAGTTATGAATCGCCTTGAGAGTGTGCTGGATAGGGCTGGGTATTATTCAAAAATTTTCGATACCTTGAATTCGATACCGGTTCCTGAAAGATATTTTTTCGATACCAATTTTATGAAATCCATTTTTACAAGATTACATTACACATTACCTCATACAAATATTTTTTTTCATTTTGTTGAGGTTTTTACAGACTCAAAGACTGATCTCCTGAGCCACTGCACAAAGGAACTAAATTTAACCAACACAATAAATCAGTACAAACAGTGTTAATAAAGTTCAAATCGTTGTCAGTGTTAATTGAACAGTTTTAAGTCAGTATGTGAGGCTCACTGCTACATACTTAAGATCTTTAAATCACTCAGCATGTCCGCTTTTTCAGGAGACAGACCAGCCCTCTCTTCACTGATGATGACCTCAGGACTAATGTCCCTAGGCTACGTTTACACTAGTGCGTTTTCGCTTTAAAATGCATAACTTAGACAGAATCATCATTTCTATTCACTTTCCACTGACTTGCGCGATCTGGTGAGCATTAGCTGTTTCTAGCACTGTCTGCCTGTGTTTTCTCTTACGCGATCGCTGTTCTGACTCAGAGGAAGCTCATTCGCTGCTCATATGTGACTCATATTACACGTTCATAACCCCGCCTGTCTCCGACGACGAGCGTGCGTTACACTTCCAGAAAAACATTTATAGGGATGAAACATGACGCTAATAAACATGCAATTACGACAGTACATGATTTGTATGTGATTTTCATGAGATTCTGCCTATTTTCATAACAATACAGTGTGTTCACATGAGAAATACTAAGCATGTGTAGCGATTAGCTTGATATAAAAGGCTGCAAATAACATATTTCTGCAACATTATATGACCAAAGCTCTCATTAGATTGCACTAAAACTAAAACACTCAGATGAGTTTTGAGTAAAAGCATAGTATAAATTGTATAAATTGTCTTATGTAGCAAGTGTGAATAAATGGTCACGTAACACGTGTTTTCCTTGATGCCTCGCCAGAGCTAATCGCTGATTTAGGCACATACAACATGCTATTGGCTCACTGACTTTAATGAGGTTAACCCCTTAGGTATCGAAATTTGGTACCGAACAACAAGACATTTTTTGATACTTGATGGTATCGAGGCAATTCTGTCGGTGCCTAAAACGTATCGAACTCGATACCCAGTCCTATTGTTGGAACTGCTGTGAGTCGGTTGAGTCCATGAGAATCCTTCAGTGTGATTTGTGAACCGGATCAGGCTAAGCATGTGTAGCGATTAGCTTGATATAAAAGGCTGCAAATAACATATTTCTGCAACATTATATGACCAAAGCTCTCATTAGATTGCACTAAAACTAAAACACTCAGTGATGGTTTTAAGTGAGTTTTGAGTAAAAGCATAGTATAAATTGTATAAATTGTCTTATGTAGCAAGTGTGAATAAATGGTCACGTAACACGTGTTTTCCTTGATGCCTCGCCAGAGCTAATCGCTGATTTAGGCACATACAACATGCTATTGGCTCACTGACTTTAATGAGGTTAACCCCTTAGGTATCGAAATTTGGTACCGAACAACAAGACATTTTTTGATACTTGATGGTATCGAGGCAATTCTGTCGGTGCCTAAAACGTATCGAACTCGATACCCAGTCCTATTGTTGGAACTGCTGTGAGTCGGTTGAGTCCATGAGAATCCTTCAGTGTGATTTGTGAACCGGATCAGCTGGTTCACTGATACTGCTTTTCCACTGGGGAAAAGGCTGTGGCACCAGCCCCGGTGGAAAAGCTGTAAGAAAGTACCGACTCAAAAGATTGAACTCAAATAACTAAAGTACTCATTGATCCAGTCATGGAGGTTCACAAGTTAACAGTTCACTGGAGGGGAAGATTATCAGTGAATAATGTAGTCCATATCATAAGTCGGAATCATATAGATAACGTTCAGCGTGCGATCACATTTATCATTATTCTGTGAATTTGAATTTGACAGCACCTTTATGGTTGTTTTTGTATTGTCATTTTTAATAGATGTTCAATATAAGGATGTTGTTATTTGGAAAAATCTGCATAAAGACTGAATAGTTATGTTTCCATCCACCCTTTTTTAGGATTTTTGGATATCGCATAAAAAACGCTGGATGAAAATGCCAAGATGTGCATAAATTCAAAAAATAGGCATTAAGATTATGTGCTCAGTTGAGTCTGAATCCGATAAGAAGACATGCGCATAAACTGCTATGGAAACAAAATTACCGAATTAATTCCTTAGTGTGCATCAAAAAAGTCACGTGACTTTGCCTCAACAGATCATGTGATTGGATAACTGAACTAACCAGTGCAGCGATCTCATCGCACACCGTCTCATGCTATTTTAATCATTTTGAGCCAAAGTCCATCATCAAAATTATTTGGTATAATCACCTCCCATAACTGTCTCAGATGATGGCATCCAAATGCAAGATAACATGCCAGCGATTGTTATTGCTTCTCGTCTGTTGCAAGTTAAATTCACAACTTTGGATGGAAACATAGCTAATGATGTGCATGTTTGTGAGAAGAGATGTGCTGTACTTTTCTAAGATCAAACTTATAATTTTGACCTGGCGAATAATAACATCCAAACATTCTTTGCTTTGAGCTGCGTATATCGAGTGACCTTACTTAGACCGATCCTGAGCAGAGTAATTCAATCTTAAGAATCTCTCATAGAGTAATCTGTGTTAGCGGGCCGGCGTGATTTCCATATGCTGTATGCTGGACGCGCAACAGCACTGAAGAGAGAGAAAGAGCCCCTCGAGTTGCGCTGGCCGAGCGGGTGTGTGACAGGTGCCAGATGGCAGGACTGAACAGTGCCAACATATGCAGCTGCCATTCAGCAATCTGTTCCACAGCACTGCCTGGAGACATATGGCTAATGAAAGACATTCAGTCTCACTCTTTCTCTTTGAATAAGAGGGGCTTTCGCAAAACCCAAAAGCCTGGAATTATTGGAGTTGACTTGTGAATGGGAAAAGTGTGTTTTACAGGTGGACAAAATAATGGACAAACCACATGAAAAAAAAAACAGCTGTAAAAAAAAGGCCTGGCAATTTGCAGTTAGATGTGAGTTTCCAAAGAATTACTTGGGCGAGTTCCAAAGAGGTCACATAGTTCCTGAATTACAGGTACATTGGCCACAAAAACTGCACACAGTGCTTTAATGTTAAAGTCACAATGAAATTAAGCGAAACAATAGTCCCTCCAGCAACCTGTCACTCACATGAAACCATCGCAGCAATCAGCAAACAACACTGATCCGACGATCCAATCAATTCCCAATGTACAAAATCAGGTTTCTTGTTTGAGAAGCTGTCTTTCAAAACTGGTATGATTTACTTTTTCCTTGAAAGACAAAAGCAGTTTTTATACAGAATGTCTGAACTATTTTTTTCCGTACCAGACCAGGAATTTCAAGGAGAAGATTCAATTTTGAATGAATCAAAGTTTAGTCTGTCACACACATCATATGGTTTCAAACCACTTGGAATATATAGTGCACAACTCGTATGGACTGGATTTTTCTGCTTTTTAGCCTTGGGGCTTGACGGCTTTCAATCACCTCCACTTTCATTATATGGAAGTTCAGAGTTCCACTTCATTCAGTTCAGTTAATCATTTGGCTTTGCTTCTCCCTCTATGTGCTATACCAGTCTCATGTTTCAGTAAGGAACTGACATTAACAGATTATTATTCCCTGTCTGACATGTGTTTGGCATTCATATAAGACAAACAGGAAAGGTAAGGGTGAAAAACCACCTCCACAACTGACAACCAGATTCTGTTTACCTGCACCAGACACACCAGCTCAGGTCCCAGATATGAATGGAAAGCTTTGCTCATTTAATCACTGACAACTAACATCTTTTTGTGCATTTAGTGTCATATTTGATCTCAATTAATAATGCACAGAAATGACAATGTCTCTTATTAGTGTTTTTGAGCTGCTTAATATCCCACTACACCTAAACTATTGTACATTTTACAGTCTACACTGCTGTTGAAAAGTTTGGGGTCGGTAAGCTATTTATTTATTGAAAGAAGTGTCTAATGATCACCGAGGCTGTATTTATGTAGCCAGAAAATTAAAAAAAACAGTAACATTGTGCAATATTATTACAACATAAAATAACGGTTTTCTATTTTATTATATTTTAAATTGTAATTTATTGCTGTGATCAAAACTGAATTTTCAGCATCATTACTCCAGTCTTCAGAGTCACATGATCCTTCAGAAATCAGTATAATATGCTGATCTGCTGCTCAAGTAACATTTATTGTTATTATCAATGAAAACAGTCTGAGCATGATGAATTTTATTCAAGATTTTTTGATGAACGAAGTTTAAAAGAACAGCATTTATTTGAAATAGAAATCTTTTGTAACATTATAAAAGTCTTTACTGTCACCTTTGATCAATTTAATGCATCCTTGCTAGTATTAATTTATTTTAAAAAGTTGTATTGACTTTTAAACGGTAATGTAGGTGAATGAGAATTGTTTACATTCATTAAAAAAATTATTCACTCCAATTTACAAACAGTTATTATCTAAGTGCTCAACACACGTGTGCATGATTAGTTGTGTTAAAGTGTGAAGTTCAGCTCTAGTTGTGGTACAGCATGTGACTTCCTTCATCGTGATGTTTCAGGGCTGTAATGAATCCTCATCCACCTCAAACAAGACCAGATTTCTCATATCTGCGGCTGCAGGCTTTGTTCTTTTTTAGGGGTACTGATATGAGCCAGATTTCATAGATCATAAAACTCATTTACTTATTCATGCAGTCAGTCTAACTAATAACAGTCCTAAAGAAACTGGTATCGGGCATATCATATCACCCAGCCTTGATGAAAATGAGTAAAATCTGAATTTAACCAGCATTAATGAGGATTTAAAGAGCTAAACACTTGCTCACAGTGGCAATTTGGTAAGTGGCACAATAGTTGAGTCACACAGGCAGTGATGAATATAATAACAGTGCTGCTCTCCAACAGATCCGGTTTCTCAGTTTTCATTGCAGATTCTCTTTCTTTTTGTTCAGCCATCCAGTGCCGGGAAGAGAGGAATTACAGAGACGGCTCAGCCTTCCTCCGAGCCCACGTCTGCCAAGATGTCCTCAGAAACACACGCTGTAGACGCCACCCCGGCCCTCCCTGAGCTTCTAGGAGACATACCTTTCACTTTAGCACCACACATCCTGGCCATGCAGGCGGGCCTGCCCTTTGTAACAGATATCACCTTGCCTCACGACATAAATGACAAACTAGCCAACTTTCGTTATGACTTCACCTTGGAGAACTCTGTGCTTTGTGAGCCGTGACTCTTTGCCCATCAGTTATATCACTAAACACGTGGTGAACTATGAGCCTTTGCTTGTCAAGATTCTCTAACCGTTTGACTCTTAAATAAATGAAGATCTAGTTTAGCTGACGGAAATCAGTCACTGACTAAATGGTGTTGGGCTCAAATGAACATATTGTCCTTTTAGTTTAAATAGGTTAGCATCAAGATGGTTTACAATCTCTCAGGATCTTGCACTTGATTGTGAGATGAGTGTTACTGCCTTGTTTTAACGCAGTAGATGAGTATTTATAAGATGACCTGCGGCTTTACGTTTTTCAAATGTAGTTCAAATTGTTACGGGTGTAAAATCTGTAATTTCGCATTTTGACTCTGTGGGGTCCTGTAGCATAAGATGATATGCTGAACTGAAATAGGGTTGTTTTGAAACTGCTATGTTTCTTAGTAGTCACACTGGGCTGTCTGTGTTGGCCTTGTTCAGTTCCTTCCTACTTCTGCACAAACTCGCTGTAATTTATGGAATCGGTTTTAAGACATTTGCTTGCAGATCAGATGAATAAAAGGTAGTCATGATACACAGGAAAATTATTTTATATTAATCTATCTCTCAGTGAACTTTAAACATATCTAAAAGAAATAATTCTGTAATAGAAGTATTTAATTAATATACAAATTATATTTTAAAAATGGCAATCATAAGGGGCTTTTGGCTAGTCCACTGTTTACTGTAACTCTATATTTAGTACCTATAAACCTTAAAGGCAAAGCAAAAACACTCCCCGGTCTGCTATTGGTCAGTCAAACAGATAGTCCCGCTCTAAACTGTTGCTATTGGTTGAGTCAGTGTTGCTGTGCCAGGGTGGTGGGGATGCTCAACAGAACAATGTCGTAATATTGACGTAGTGCTTGCACTTTTCAGGGGAATCAGTCTAGAGCAGGGGTGTCAAACTCAATTCCTGGAAGGCCGGAGCCCTGCAGAGTTTTGTTCCAGCCCTGCTCCAACACACATACCATGTAGTTTTCGAATAAGCCTGAAGGACTTGATTAGTTGGATCAGGTGTGTTTAATTAGGGTTGAATCTAAGTTCTGCAGGACTTCGGCCCTCTAGGTATTGAGTTTGACACCCCTGCTCTAGAATATAGCTTACTTGTAGTTGTCTCTGCATATTAAGCTGGTATATGAAGTATTTTTACACGCATCATTTTAAGTTACTTATGAAAGGATTGCACTTAAAATCACGAGACGGACATTGCAGTGCTCATTATAAATAAGCCAATATTATATAGCTTTGTAAAAGTGTGCTTTTTTCTTTTTCTTTTGTTGGTGTGAATATGCATACCTCAACTGGTGTTTGGTTTTAATGCATGGAGTTTTGAAGTTCTGCCTAAACATAACACACCAGATTTCGGGAGGCAGATATGTATTCTGAACAAAGTTGGATTGCAAAAACATGCACGTGGGTTTTAGTAGGATTTACTGTTCTGTTTGAATAGTCCACACGGTTGTTGAGCTGGGTTTGTTTTGTTTGTTTCTTTCATCTGAATTTCAGTTAATGGATGGGGTTTATCTTAGTGCATGCTGCTATTTACACAATGCACTTAGGAGTTTAGCCGTGTTTCCTTTACACCCTTTGTACTTGATAGCAGATTCATTTATTTACTTGATGCCACTCAAATCTCACTTTTGTTTATTAAAAAATATATATTTTATTAGTCTTTGTTTTGATTTGTCTGTCTTTCCGACATGGTTATTTCATCTGAGCGTCCTCCTAATGTATCTCGGTCACTGACCTATCCTTTTCAAAACACTGTACAGAAGTAGTCAACGTTTGCATTGTGCTGTGTCTGTTTGCTCTATAAAAATGTCTGTAAAATCATTTAATGCCACTTCTTCAGTTAAATATTATGCCATCACCTTAACTCCTTTGTTGGATTCTTTATCGATTCATATCTGGAACAGAATTCATTATTGATTCTGATCCCGCATGATGTTTATGCTCAATTCTGAGCACGAGTGCAATGTAATATGATGATGTTTCATTAAAACCTTCTTTGATAACGTTGTTTTGTTGTTGCAGTTTTGTGTATATTTATATCTTGTAAATATGATTTAGCACATCCAAGGATCTATCACAGATTTCCCACGGAGTAGATAAAAAGCCAAAATGTAAAAGTTAACCAAATGATCAAAATCTAAATTTAAGACGTGTGACAACTTGCCCCGACCTGACATTTTTATCCCGACAGCTTGAGTTCAAATTGTAAATTGACCCTTGTCTGAATGCATGTCAGTGTGGTTCACTTGTTTGCCCAACAGCGGTTTGAAAAAAATATGTTTCTAGGTTGTTGAAACCAACAAATAAAAACCACTGATAGAGAAACACACATTTGTACTATTCCTTGTTTTGTTTTTTTTTTACTTAAAACATTATAGTTTGAAATATACAATATTTGTGACAAATAGCCCAAATAGCTCATGCTCTTTCCATTGCATACAGTAAAGTCCGTTACACTGACCATCGGTGTTATCTATCTAGTACTAATGTTTTTACCTTCAGATTAGTCCGTCAGTTTACAATCCCAACCAATAGCAAGGCTGAATCCCAAACGTTCTAAACCACAATGAGTCAGTTGGCTCTTTCCGAGTCCATCATTTTCGCCAGACCAATCATGTTTTAGTTCGATCATGCGATGCACCAATCAGAGGCCGTAAGAGCGCCGGACGCCCCCGCCCCCGCCCCCGCGTCTCAGAGACTGCGCCGCCGAAGTGCCTGTCATTTGGAGTAACACCAGGCAAAGAGGGGCGCTGAGACACACGACAGTCCGGGCAACATTTCTTCAGCGTCAACTTTTTTAGGTTTCTAGACTCGGATAAACTCCTGACACATTTTAAAGACTAGTTAGCGTCAGCCAATCATCTGCATGACTAAAGGACCACAACTTTGCTGTAATTGCTACACGTTCAGCGCACTAACCTACAAGCTGAAGCTGCGCACTACACCAACATTTTAACTGTTGAAAGACTGTGCATCTCAAGAAGTTTAATTCATGACTTAAGTTTAGCTAATGAATGCCTGGGGAGGAATTTATTCGCGTATTTTGCAGTAAAACTACCACATAGTTAGGTTCAGTCATGTCAGCATCACCTGTGCACACAGCTCGGGTCAGGCGCAGCAATGACGGGTCCCCCATCAGCACCTCCTCCTCCTCCTCCTCCTCCTCTTCCTCAGCAGCAGCAGCAGCAGCATCCTCCTCCTCCGCCGGCAACACGAGCCGGTTGCAGCCCATTCGCGCAACGGTGCCCTACCAGCTCCTGCGTGGAAATCAGCAGCACAGCCCGACCCGCCCTCCCGCGTCCTCCTCCTCCTCCTCCTCCTGCTGCTGCTCCATCTCAGTCGGAAGCAACACAGAACCGACAGCATCAGCCCAGCACAGCAGCTCCAGTCCCGGCAGCCCGACGCTCGCCAGTCCGGCAGGAAGCGGCTCGCTGGACGGTCGGCTGATCCCGCGGCAGAGGCGCTCTCCTCCGGAGCACAGGAGCTCACCCGAGCGCTGCCCTCATTCACCTGTCCTTAGAGGTAAACAACAGGCCCGAATCCTGCTTCGTCTTACTGTCATTCATTGAAACATCTTCACATACGCTGCGGCTGGAGTCGTTTAATTGGGTCAGGCTGTTTATGACGGACTGTACAGAACAACATCAATTCTTCACTTAAAACCGTTATTATAACAGAAACGCATATGCATGATATATATATATATATATATATATATATATATATAGATATATATATATATATATATATATATATA